AAATGGCATGGTCAAACGGTCAAATGTCACTTAATATTTTCGACCGAATTTTCCGACCGATTTTAGTCGAAAATTTCCAATTTAGATCTGCCAGGGACGGGCTTCTTCCCTATTTCCCCATTTTCTCTATTTCTCTTCCATTTCTCATCTTCTCCTCTCAAAACCACATCCAAAATCAATTCTTGTCTCCCTCCTCACCCAAAATCAAAGCCTCCATTGCTTCCTCCGTCGGGCACCACTGCTTCCTCCGTCGGCTGCCACCACTGCTTCCTCCGCCGGCCACCATCACCCACTGCTTCCTCCGTCGGCCACCATCACCCACTGCTTTTACCACCCAAAATCAAACCCCTTCTTTTCTATTTCAAGGTTAGTTATCTACATTTTTTAATTTAAGTAATTTATATTCTTCTATTGTATAAACTAGGGTTTAGTTAATGATTAATTAGATTTAGGGTTTATCCGAAACAATGGTACTGTTTTTAGTTTTATTTTCCATTAGATTTGTGGAATGGTTGGTGTTTCTCTGCAAGACTCTTTGTTTCAGAGAATTGATGGTTCATGTAAATGAAGAGCACTTAATAAAAGGGTTATCATAGGTTGCAATTGTTTTTCTGTTACTCTGCAAAGTTCAATTCTTTTAATGGTGGTAATTACTAGCTAGATTAACTAGAGACAGACTTTGGTTATTCTGCTTGTTACTTGCACTCTCTGCGTATCAAAATTTTGATAGATTTAACTATGATCTTTTATGATTTTCATTCCAATATAATAAACCACTCAATTGTTTGCCTAAGTGAGTGCTCTCATATCTCTGGTTGGGTTCTTGTTTTTCCTTAACTATTATGTTGTAAATTGAGATAATAACGATCCAATTAACAAGATTCAAGGTTCAAAGTAATTGCTAATTATTGGATTTAGATAGTTGGCATTTGTGGATTAAGCATTTGTGGATTATTCCTGTTTTGGTTATCAAGTCTTGGGAAAAATTATTGCAAAGTGACAATACAGATGAAGATTCCTTTTCTGCTTGGGAAAAATTAACAAGACTCAAGTTTTGGTTTTATCTGAAACAGTGGTACTGTTTTTAGTTTTATTTTCCATTGGAAATTGATTACTGCTGATTTTATTTTACACATTGGTTGAGAATGTTTGTGCAGCTAACTCGCATGTGAATATACATACTTGTAAATATACTTGCTCACTTGTGATTTATTTACCCCTACATGTAGGTTAATAATTCAAACAACGGTGTTAATCAATTTTTGAAAGACATATCTTAGGGACCTGCACCTACGGTTACGACTATGTCTAAGTATTATGTGAATGGTTATAAATTTCACACCGAGAAATGATCCAAGTATAAAAAAAAGCAATAACAGTGGGGTGTGTGTCAAAAGTGGTGAAGGCAACCAGGATAGGAAAAATAATTATTATGGTGTGATCAAAGAGATTCTAGAATTGTCATATTCAGGTTGGCCAAATAAGAAGATCATACTTTTTCGATGCAAGTGGTTTGACCCAACACCTAGAAGAGGTACAAATGTACACTCGCAGTACAACATAATTGAGGTTTATAAAAAGAGGGAGTATGATCGGTATGATCCTTTTATAATTACATAAAGAGTTAGGCAAGTGTACTATGCTCCATATCCATTGCAAAGGGATAAGGCTGATTGGTTAGTTGTAATCAAAATGAAGCAAGTTGGTAGGGTGGAAGTTGAGAATGTGCTAGATGTTGTTTACCAAAATGATACCTCAAGTGTTAACCAAATGGTGGATGATCAGTTAGAAAATTACTTGGAGCATCCTCAACGCATATTAGAAGAAGTTGATATGGAGGAAATAACAATCATAGAAAATGAGGATGAAGAATCACCTAATGAAAATGAAATAAGTGAAGAGGAAGGATTTTCAGACGAGGAAGGATACGTCGACGAAGACGGCTAGCATGTTAGTTTTTTCAAGCGCTCTCAACTTATATAGATTTATATTCTCAATTCTAACATTTTCGTTAATTTATGCAGATGGTCGGTAGGGGTCGAGGTAGGTCTAGGAAGGATAAAAGGCCTATTGATCATGATGATGGTGCTACACCCACGCTTCCTTCCACACCACACTTGCATCCCTCTGCTGCTGATGGCCGGCAGCAATCTTCTAGGCACAGATCTATTCTACCATATCCATCTACTCATCATACTACCCACCATTCGCCCGCCCAGCAGTATTATCACCATTTTCCGCCATAGGGATATACCCCGCTTCCTCCTCATGATCCTACCAGTACTAACATGGGTGCATCGGGTGACCAGTCACAGAGCTATGTGGTACGCTCGTCATCTGCTCCATTTTCTTCATCTCCAGCTGGATCGCATCCATCTAGATTTTAGCCGGCCGAATCGCAGCAGTGATCTGGATCGCAGCAGGGGTCTAGATCGATGCAGGGATGTGGAATGCAGCCATCTTCATCAGGGACCCCGTCTCTCTCTCCACCGAGTTCGTCTCCTAGCATTTCTAGACTTCGTCTTCGGGATAGTAGCACTGAGCCAGATGCGCCCCCCCTTTCTGCGCACGCTTCAGATTCATCAGAGGATAATGATCCAGATGATGTGCGTTATGATCGTTATCATAGGATCATCATCAGGCCTGAGGGTAATGGGTAAGATTTATTTATTACTTCTTTATTTTTGCTGAATTATCATAGCTACTCTTGTTTATTTAATGTAATTGTTATGTTGCTGGTTCATTCCTAATCATCAGGTTACAAAGATAATCACTGATATTCTTGGAGGGTTGTATAATGCACCCTATCTGACTTGGAGTGACTTTCCAGAGGATCTCGTGCAACAGATTTTCAACCAATTTAAGGTTTTAACATAATTCTTATATATTTAAGTATTATATTAACAATATTTTCATCTAACGTTACATAGTTTATTTGCAAACTAAGTGTGCCTGGGAGGACCGGTATAACCGTAAAATTTGTAAAAATTGGGAGTACAAATGCCGTAAGAGACTCTCTGATTCCTTCAGCTCTACTCGAAAGGTTAAAAAGAAGCCTTCATGGGTTCTACCGGATGTATGGGTGGATCTGCAGAGGTATTGGGCCACCGAGAAATTTGAGAAGCATAGTGAACTGGGAAAGAAGGCCCGAGCATCTGAGAATGGTGGCTCCTTGCACTATCTGGGTTCAAGGAGCATGGGGGATACGAGGAGACAACTGGTAATTCCTTAAAATATTTCGGTCTATTTTTATCGAACTATATTTATATATGTTAATTTCGTTAACACATTTTATTATATTTGTGGGAAAAAAAATATGGGAGGAAGATGAGTCATGATGAGTTCTTCATGGAGACTCACGTCCGGAAGAAGAAGGCACCGACAGATCCAACTAGATGTGTCACGACCCAAAATTTCACTAGTCGTGATGGCACCTAACCCAACCCGTTAGGTAAGCCAATTTTCAACTATCCAATTCCAATAAAATTAATTAAAAGAAAATATCTAAAATTAATACATCTCCCCAAGAACTGGTAGTACAAATTATGAGCTTCTAAGAATAGAGCGTACAAAGCGGAAATAAAATAAATACATAGTCTGTTTGAATAATACATAAATAGAGCTTTTATAAATTTAAGTCTACCCTGAACAAGAGGCAGCTACAACATGAAAGCGGGTACATCTTCAGATCCCGCAACCATCGAGCATAGCAACAATAGCAGTCAACATCTACACAAAATGTGCAGATGTGTAGTATCAGTACAACCGACCCCATGTACTGAGTAAGTAACAAACCTATCCGTAGGTTGAAAGTAGTGACGAGCTTCCACCAAGGTCGGGTCCAACTTCCATAACCAACAATACTTCATAACAATATTAAACAAGTAATACCAGAAGTAACTCAAGAATAAATGCTCAGCTAAATCATGACTTCTGAAAATAGTTCTGCCTTTCAAGTACATCAATGAAAACCTGAATCGTATACCGAAGTTACCAAAAATATGAATAAGTTTGAAAACAGTAATTATTCCAAAATCCTTTCAATAAAAAATAAGATATCTCATTTTCTTTCCCAGATAACCAGTGTAAAACAAATGCACCACTATGCACATCTGTCAATATGTGAGAGAAATCATGAATAATGTGATACTGTACAGCATCAGAAAAATACATCTCTATGCATATATGTCATGTGTGCATGTCAATGCAATGTATCTCAGAGATTGCACTCATGTACTCACACTATCAGAGTACTTAATCTCATTGTCTCGCATTCTCTCTCACTGTGCTCAGCACACTCAATCACTCAGCGCTATACAATACCTGCTGTGGCGTGCAGTCCGATCCCTGTTTATAGTCGACTGCGCTCACTGGGGGTGTACAGACTCATGAGGGGCTCCTACAGCCCAAGCGCTATAAGCACGGACAACTCACGTGCTGCATGGACAACTCACGTGCCATAATATAAATATCTGGATCCGCACAGCCAACTCACGTGCTGCACGGCCAACTCACGTGCAATAATAATATAAGGATCCGCACGGCCAACTCACATGCAATAAGAATAATATATATAAAGCCAACATGGCCTGCTACGGCGTGCAGCCCGATCCCAAATATATCCTCACAATCAGGCCCTCAACCTCCCTCAGTCATCAATCTCTCCAGTCTCTCTTTCATGGGCTCACAATGTCATGAGAATAGCCCAAAATGATGATATGATGTATCAATAAATAACAACAGAGACTGAGATATGATATGCAATGAAATAAATATGACTGAGTATGAATTTTAAATTTAAAATAACTATTTCACAACAATATGACCTCTGTGGGTCCCAATAATACTGACACATAGCCTCAACATGATTTTTAATATGCTTTGCAGCTCAATTTCTTTAACTCATAAAATCGCATGAAAAATGCCAAGATCATTTAACTACAAAATTCCACAGAAACAATTATGTCACAATTTCTATAGTGCACGCCCACACGCACGTCACCTAGTATGTGCGTCACCTCCCAAAAATTTATGAAATACATATATTCAGGTTTCATACCCTCAACTCCAAGATTAGAAGAGTTACTTACCTCGAACAAGTCAAATCCAATGTCGAGCAAGCTAAGCAATGCTCCAAAAATTCTATTATGCGGTATCAACTTCCAAATGGCTCGAATTTAGTCACAATAATTTGACTCAGTCCACAAAATTTATAAGAATTAATTCCATATCAAAACGCTAAAATTTTCCATAAAATCCGAAATTATGCCCCAAATATCACCTGTGGGGCCCATATCTCGAAATCCGATGAAACTAACAAAATACGATAACCCATCCAATTACAAGTTCAACCATACTAATTTCACTCAAATCCGACTCCAAGTCGGTATTCAAACTTGAAAAATTCGTTTTGTGACATGATAGAAATTTTCTTCTATTTCTCTTGAAGATTCAATAATCTTACACCAAAAATGAAGATTAATTCATAGAATATAATCACAAGGGAGTTAAGAACACTTACCCCAAGTTGTGTGGAAAATTTTCTCTCGAAAATCGCCCAACCCGAGATCCAAAATCCGAAAATGGGAAAAAATCTTGAAACCCTCGTTTTAATCACTGCCCAGGCATTTCCGCACCTGCGGTGCCTGGGCTCGCACCTGCGCATCCGCATTTGCGGATAAAAATACGCGCCTATAAAAAACAGTCGGCCCTCTGAAATCTCGCATCTGCGGCGCTATTCTCGCATCTGCAGGCTTTGCAGATGCGCATTCCCCTTCGCACCCGCGGTCGCCTCACGCCAGCCCCAATCCGCATCTGCGCCAATGCCTTCGCACCTGCGGCAAATTCCTTGCACCTACGAGCACTGCCTAGTCCCACTCTTGACCGCTTCTGCGTCTTATTTCACGCACATGCGGCTTCGCACGTGCGATCAAAATCTTCGCAGGTGCGATCACACCAGCAGGCAGCAGTTCCAGCATTTCCTTAAGTCCAAATTTGATCTATTAACCGTCCGAAACTCACCCGAGGTCCCCGGGACCTCAACCAATTGTATCAACAAGTCCCATAGCATAACACGGACCTACTCGAGGCCTCAAATCATACCTAACAACCTCAAAAATATGAACTACACACGGATTCAAGCCTAATAAATTTCAAAATTTTTGAATTCTACAAACGACGCTGAAACCTATCAAATCACGTCTGATTGACCTCACATTTTGCATACAAGTAACATTTCACATTACAGGCCTATTCAAATTTCCAGAATCGGATTCCGACCCCGATATCAAAAAGTCAAACCCCCGGTCAAACTTCTCAAAAAATTTAACTTTCGGCAATTCAAGCCAAATTCCACTACGGACCTCCAAATAATTTTTCGTACACGCTCCTAAGTCCAAAATCAACATACGGAGCTATTGGAATCATAAAAATTTGAATTCGAGGTCATTTACACATAAGTCCGCATCCGTTCACTATTTTAACTTAAGCTTTAAACTTTGGAACTAAGTGTTCCAATTCATTCCAAAGCCTCACTGAACCCGAACCAATTACTCCGGCAATTCACACAACAACTGTAAAGTATAATTTGAGAAGTAAATGGGAAATGGGGTTGTAATACTCAAAACGACTGGTCGGGTCGTTACAAGATGGGTCGAGGACCGGGCGGAGACTACACATGTAAATTTCATAACTACTATAAATATTTATAATATTATATAGTTAGTAATTTTCTATCTTTTAAATAAAGGGTCGCTACAAGATTAATTTGGAAAAGTACACTCAGAGCTTGCCACCGAATGAGCAAGGCGAGTGACCGCCCATTTTAGACGAAGAAGTGCAGAGGATATGGTTGGATGTTGTCGATGGTCCTAAAAAGGGGATAGCATACGGCCTTCCAGATAAATCATTTCGGCGCTACAGGGCTGGATTGCAAGGTATAGGGACTTCCGCCCAAGGCGAGGCGATTGATAGGTCGACTATATCGTCTATGGAACAGAAGATCGCAAAGCTGACAGCAGAGCTTGAAGAGACAAAGGCTAGGAAAAAAAAAAGCGAGATGAACAATTTGGTAACCTTCAAGTTCAGCTAGAAAGGAGGGACGGACAATTTAATCTTCTTCAAAGTCAGCTGGCCAATCTTCTTGCTAGTGGTGCTTTTCCCATTATCCGGTCTCGTGAGCCTTCCCCATGTGCCGACGATGAAGGTTCTAGGAGTGAAAATGGAGATGATGCTAGATAAAAAACTCATTGAATGGTGGGTATTGCTAAACAAAGTATTGAACTTGTCAATATTTAGTTGAGACTAGTTTTGAATGATGATTATATTGTTATTTTGTTATTGAATATTTTAGTAGTTGTTGTTGTGGTTGTTATTAGTTGTTGTTGTTGTTAGATAATGGTTGTTAGTGTTAGTTAATAGTTTTTGTTAGTTAATTATTGTTGTTGTTGTTAGTATATTCATTGTTGTTGATTAATTATGGTTGAATGGCAGCAATGTAATGCTGCCATTATAGGATGGATATTGGTTATAATTAGCAGGTGGTGTAGCTCAAAAATAGGCATTTTCTGCCCAATTTTTACCCAGATTTCCGACCGAATTCGGTCGGAAATTATGAATTTATATTTATTTTT